TTAACTTGTAATGAAACAAGTAAAGTTGGTATTTTCAACCAACACATATAATGACGTTAATGTTTACAGTTGACTCTCCAAGTTGAGTGTAAATGAGGCGAACAGAGAGAAAAAACAAACTGTAAAAAGAAGGGGAAAAAGATAGCAAACAAAGAATAATGAAATTGTAAAAATTGGACAAAAAAACGCTAAAAAATGAAATTCAATTTTCACTCGACAAACAAATAAAAAACGAAGGTAAAAGCGGTTTCAATTTTTTAGACAAAAACATTTTCTTGTCAACCTCTTTTTTCTGGTTTTTCTTGCCACTTTCAGCTGATGATAATACAACTTGTTAACAATTTCCGTTCATCATTAATATAATCATGATAATGATTCTGTCAGAAACATGGAGAGAAGAAATTTACATGATAATCAACTTTGAATTGTGATATTTTTCGGCCAATTTTGTTCTTCTTCTTTTACCCATTTTCCTTGTGCTTTTTTAACCTAAATGGCATCTTAATTACTCTAAACATTACTTCAATTGTGATTATATTTATGGTGATAATTATGCTGATTATCGTTATAATTATCATTATGAAAACGGAATTATAATGAAGCTTGAAATGTAAAGATGTTTCCAGTGAAAAGAGTAAATAATTTGCTTGCTAATTGATCTAATTAAGAGTATCTGTTGATAATGATGAGCCATTTATTTCAATTAAAATTTGCTCGCTTCTTTTGTCTCATTATTCAATTCAATTTTTGTGTTTGTTCAATTGTTCAATCAACATTTTCCCTTCAATATTTACATTTGCTATTGACTTTCCAATGAAAAGTGAAAAGTCCTTTTCAATAAGATGAAACAATTTTTTCAACCAATTGATCAATTTTCAACTCAAAGGCGGAATCATTATTGCAATCATTATTGGAATCATTTCAGGAGAAAATCTCTTTTTTCTCATTTACAGATTTCGTCTATTCAACAGTGACTTGGTGATCAGGCGACATGCAATTTTCATCTTTGGTTACTTTGATGAAGTAGCCAATCTACATTGAATGACCATTGAACAAGCCTTTCACTGGTTACACCCTTTGCTCTCCTCATGATATTTCAATCTGAACCAGAAGAAGAAGAAGAAGAAGACTAAATCTGATAAAGATTTTTTTCTTTTCATTATAATTTGATCAGTAAACTGGAGGAAGATGATGTTGAAGGGCAACAAAAAACACACACACATTGAGTTATAATTGTACACCAAAAAGGATATCAGTTGTCAGTTATTGATTTGTGATGTACTTTTTGTGCCTTTTTTCATCACATTTTGTATTTTCATCTTATAATATTATTAACATTTCTGTTGCTCTGAACATGGAATGGCAATGCATGGTGAAAGTGTGAAAATGTAATCATTCTATTTGCATTGTAATTCTATTGAATCTATTATGTATTATTGTTAGACGTTGCGATTTGAAATATTAAATAACAGAATAAAGGGAAAAGAAGGAAAAACAAAAAAAGAGAAATGGAAACAAGAAGATGCTGAAAAGTCTTCTCATGCATCTATCATCTATCATCATCATTATCATTGTGATTCCTTTTTCTTCTTCTCGGAATATTCAGATTGAAAATGATAGAAACTCTATCTTTCCTTTGAGAAGGTAAAGATTTTTTTGTTTCAATTTTTTCTCCATAAAAAACAATTTCCAAGCAAAGAGTAGCTTCAGAGCGACTCAACACATTTTAGGTCAACTTTAATATTTTGGGAAATAGAGATTCAATAATTTCTTTTCAATCAAATCTTGAACTTTTTCCACAAGAATGGTTAAGATTATGAACAATTTTCAACCTTTTTGATTAAAACCTTTCAACCCTAAACAGTAACCTTTAGCTTGAAAGCAATGACTTGCTGATGAATCCATCTCATAATGAAATCTCAAGTTGAAGTAAATCATCAATGGAAGTTTCATTTCAAAACATTGAATTAATTTTCATCTAATTTCCTGTTCACATCTAAGCTTCATTTCTGTGTTCGACTCTGTGTCATTTGCTTGTTAAAAGATTATTCATGTTGCTTCGATTTTTTGTGCTTAGCGAAAATCGAATGGAAATTTTTTGGATCAATTTTGATACAATTAAATGGATAAATTGGTCGAAAAATCGTTTATCTTTTTGTCTTTCTCCTGTTTTCTGGGGTTGACCATTTCCTTACTAATCTTTTCTGTGTAAAGTTGCTTTTATTGGAGTGTTCATTTCATCTTGTAATTGTTGCCAAACTTAATTTAATTTCTGTTGGTCAAATATTAACCAGAAAAGAGCGTTAAATAAGAAAACAATTTACTTGTAATCTTGCACTTTGTGAGTCTGAAAATGATGAACAAGCTGAATAAAGCTCAACTTGATGACTGAAGTTGCACTTGCAGTTCACAGTTGAAGATAGCTTTATCAAAGTTATCATTATTGAAGTGATGTTTAGAAGTAAAATAAGTGGAAACTCAATTTTGTTGAATTTTTACGAGCAAATTCATTGTTCGATATAAACATTGAAATAGCTTTAGTACTTTAATAAATCGATTTACTTCTCTTCACACAAAGCGATTGAACCAAAGTGAACCTAATCAATGTTTGGTGTTTTCAATCTTCTAATTGTGCACACTAATAATTGATGAATGAAGGAACAAGAAAATTGAACCAAATTCAATATTCCAATGAAAGAATACAGAAAAAGACTGAAAGAGGAAAAGAATGTATTTTTTCAATGGAACACAAAATCCAAATGAAAAAAAGGTTGAGCACAAAAAGATTATCAATTTTTATCTGTTGAGCAAAAATTTGATTTTTAACTCCAACAGTGGAAAACTGTAATCTCTTGGAAAAGTTCAATTTTGGTTCAATCAAGCCTGTAATTAAACTTTTCATTCCAAACGATTTAGCCAATTGTTGGTTTACTTTGGTTGACACACAAAAAAAGGGAAAACAGGAAAATGGAGAAAAGTAATTGTTGGATAAAAATATCAATGGCTTTATTACCTACTGATGGTTATGGTTTAATCCTTTGATCAATGATATTAAATCCAAGTGTTTGTCCTCATCATTTTCACTCTCTCATGTTAATTACTTCAATCAACAATAAGTCAGTTTTATCATCAACAGGGTCACCTTTTTTCCTTCTCATCCTTGTTGTTCCTTATTAATATTGAACAAGTGTGAAGGGAAGAGACAAAGAAAAGTGGAGAAAAGATTAACACTCTGAATGATAGGAATAATGATGATGAGTGGTGATGAACGAAGAGGTTTAGGTTATCCTTTGGAAGACTTTTTAATATATAAAAATGTATATTAAAGTTGAAATGTTGTTATCACTGGATTAAGATGAACATTAGTTGAACAATGAAAAGACTCCAACACACATTCACAAGTTGAGTTAACTTTCACTGTTGATATCATTTGGTAAACTTAATCAAATGTTGATTATTGCCTGATTAATCTGTGGTTATCCTTTAGGCCTTCATTTTTAATGATTGATTGAGTTTCCCAAATAATTTAATATAAAATAATAACAGAAAGAAGAGAAAAGAAAAGCAAGAAAATGTTGAAACATTATTATATTGAGACTGGGTTTGGATAGTTGAGTTACTTGTGAGTAAACCTTTATTTACACGCAAACTAATATTTGTAATGACAACAATTGAGGCTGAAGATGATGAGGATGGCAAGCTAAGATGATGAACAAGCTGAGAGAAGGAATAATGCAAGATTAAAGAATGATATTTACTGAAACCTTCAACTGGGAGTACAGATATTTGATGATAAACCTCTGAGAAAAGTGAACAAAAAATGAATTTCTTCTTCTTCTTCTTCTTCTTCTTGCTTTTGTTTGTCTAACACACTCATCATAATTTAGTCTTAATAAGCAAATTAAAGGAAAGGTTTAATCTAAATTTGCTTTCATTTGATTGTTAACATTTAACACAATTGTTCAAGTTAACCTCACAATTTTTATTTGCTTCTAGAAATGAAATTTATCCGGTGAAATGTGAACATTGCCTGGAGATATTTTTTCACTTTTCTCAAGACAAAAACACAAAAATGAAAAGAGTTTTTCGATTCTTTTTTGTTAAGTTTAAATTGTTTTATTATCATTTTGATGGAGACAATTTGTTGTTTGCTTGTCAATGATTCAAGATAAATATCATGTTCATCATGTTTATCATGTTTATCGTGTTATTCTTGTTTCAAGTTTAATTGTTTTTCTTTTTACTCTAAACTTTGATAAAATTTTCACTACCTTTCAATGTTAGTCATTTTTTTCAGGTGAAAACATTTTCTTAGCGTTTTTGGGTTAATTTAGGTTAAGCTTTGGTTGAAAAGCTTTTTGGGAAAAAGAAAGATGATATTCTGGTGACGATCATGTTGTTGGTCAGTTTAATGAAAATTCACAATTCACTTTTTGGTAAATCCTTTTCTTGGTTGCTCATTGTTTACCATTGGACTTTGATTAGTTGATATTTTCATACGATTGAGTTGAATCTCATTTTCATTGTTCAAAATTGCGTTTAGAAGATTGATTTTTTGAAACGGATTTTCACTTGAATTGTTCACTCCGAATGATGTTTTGTTGGTAAAGTTTAAACAATTTGATGGTCTTTTTTGGTGTAAATTAATCACAGTTTGGTGTTGAAAGATTTTCGAAATTAAATTGAACAGAAATTGAAACTTACCTTTTAAAAGTTATTTTCATTTTAAATATGATTTAGTTTATAAGATTTGGTTAACTTTGCTTTTATTTGAAAGCTGTAGGTTTGTTTTACAACACTTTACTGACTGAGGAAAAGTTGGAGATTGAATGAAAATGGTTGTAAAGCAGGATTGTTCATGTTCAGAATGTTCATGAATTGTTCAGGTGGAGCCACTAAGAATTGTTTGCTTTCCATCCACAATTCATGGGCATTGGTGATATGAAATGGATACATTAAATTATGACCGAAAAGGTGATTTCAATTAATTTGATTTCGTGTTTAAGTATAAAAAATGAAATGCTTAAAAAGTGAATTTATTTTGCTGATTGTTTGGGTATAAATTTTTAGTTTAATCTTGTCTTCATGGGAGCCATTGATCTTTTGTTTGTTTTGTGTATAAGTCGCGTTTTACAGTTTAATTTTACAAAATGTTTTGCCTTCTCCACAATTCACAAGTCAAAGTCCAAAGTGGTTTGACTTGACCAGCTTCATAGAGATGGAATCTTTTGGAAATTGGAAAGTTATAGTTTAACAGAATATTCCCATAGATCTTTATCATATCCTTCATGGACATGTTGTAACAAAACTTTTCGTCGACTATCGCAGTATCTGTGAATAAGAAGAAAATAGTAAAAAATAATTAGTTGATGGAAAATAGAGAATAGATAAGAATCATTCAAAGTGTTTAGATAAATGAAGACTATACCTATACTTGTCCTGTACTTTCTGTTTGATATCAACAATATTGTCCTTAGTAATATCTCGCTCTAAGTATTCAGATAATGTTTCAGTGGCACTTTCCAAATCTTTTTGGTTGTCCTCAAAAATAATGGATTGATTATTTTTAACCAGATAATAAGCGAAAACATATGTGTACATAAGTGTTTCTCGGCACAAACAGAGAACGTCGACAGCTTTTTTGAGAAATTGTACTTCAATCCAAGACATGTTGTGTTGTTGCATCTCTTCCATCTTCTCCTTTATGGAAGCGTATAATTTGTGCTCAAACTTTAAACTTTGCATATGATTCATGTACCTATTGCAGTAAAAAAGGTACCGTTGAAGGGCTGCTCGAGATCTTTCTTGTGCATCACGGGCTGCTTTTGCTTCATGTTCATCATAACGATTGCAACTATACCTATAAGGAAAGCGAGAAAAGCTTGTAATTTCATTAAAAACAATTGAAATAAATATGAAAAATGATATGAAGAAAAACTTAATTAGTATGGTATCAGAAATATTCATGTTACTATACAAAGAGAGAATAGTTGATGTTAAAGAATATTAAAAACGGATAAGCCACGAAGATAATGGAAGAAACAGGAAATAATTAGTAAGATATTTGTTCATGCTTAGAGGGTGGATAATGAAGATGGAAAATGCTAAATAATTATTTAAAATATCTAGATAATGTTATTATATATTGATCTGTGAACCATTCAAGATTCATCCAATATGCAGTCTATAAGAGGTTGAATAACTTTAAATAGAATCAATGACCAGTTAATGATGTCTGGATTTACATTGTTTAGATTTTCATGATTGATATTTTCTTTCTAGATAAGGTGATGCTCGGGGTTAACACTGATTGAAGATGTCAATTAATGAATCCATTAAGATAATGGAGATTAGCAACACATAACATAATGGAAATGATCAATTCGTACCATGAAGTCCCGTGAGGTTCCCATGGTCCAAGGCATTGCCAACAAAAATCAGCTTTGCAGTTTTGATTTTTACAAATCATATGATTACAACCACCATCTTTTTCTATGGTGACATTACATTGAGGACATTCCTTAGTATTGGCTGCGATCCAATTCGAAGTTTCACTATCATCATCACACTTTTTCCTCCATAGTTTGAGAAGATCACATTTGACCGGCTCATGCCAATTCTCTCCACAGAGGAAACTAAAAGATTAGGAAAGAAAAAGCGGAAAATTTAATGGTCAGCAGTTATTAGATGCACGAAATAAATGAGGTCAATGAAAAGTAAATTGAAATAATGACTTACCAAAATATGGTTCCACATGTACATTTAACAGGCTGAAAATCTAGATATTGAACTTTTATACTGTGGCTACATTCAGGCTTGGGACACCACCTTAACAATCTATTGCACTTTTGAAGAGAAATAAAAGAAAATTATGAAGCCATTATTATAAAGCCTACCATAAAAAAATATTGAATTATTAAGACGGTGGCGAGTGAGACTAAAGCCAGTTCTTTTGATACATACTTCTACAAAACTGTTAGTTATCAAGTGTTGGTATCTAAGCTTCACTTTGTTATCCGTGATGAGATTCATGACTGTTTGGTCATCAACAAGAATGTCACAGGCATGAGCTGCACAAGAAATTTTGTTACCCATTCCTTCTTCCATTATTTTGGTCGTTAAATAATGGTTCCAACAGTCTTTACAGAACCTATGTCCACAAGCAAGGCCAGTAAGCATCTAAAAAAATATTATAGATCAATTAGTGAGTGAATTAAGGGTTTAAAGTATGATTTAATTAGAACATACTGATGCTGGGAAGTCTCGACAACATATAATACAAGTTTCCATTTCATGGGAATACGATAGTTTCTGTGAAATAGAAAACAATAAAGTTTGATTTAATGAGAAAAGAAATGAGCACAACAATGCCATCAAGGCGCTTGAAATGTGAAATCAGATAGAAGCAAGGAGAAAAATATAATTATACCAAGGCAAGGCTGTTATTGAAAGATAGTTAAAATAAAAGAGTTTAATGTAGTTAGAGTTTGATTTACCTTGATTTGCTGATTATTGTATGCTTCAGCTGGGTCAATGATATGAGCTTCACTAAATAATGGCCCTCTATCTCCATCGTAATATCTTTCATAGAGCTTTTCTTTGTCCCATTTAAAATGATTCAAAAGAATTCGGGTTATAGTTGGCGGAAGCTGTACAACATTGTTAACTTCTTTAATACAATCCTGCATATGTTGCATAATTTGCTCAGTGGTCAATACTTCAAACGGAAAATCTTCATCAAAGTCCATCTTATCTTTGCTTGACATATTAGCAGAAACTGTAGGTTCTGAGTCGAGTAACGCAACAGAAAGTCCATCGTCATCATCACCACCACTTGATTCATTACCAGAGTCATCTTCATCTTCTTCTTCTTCTTCTGACTCATTGTAAAGTACTTCTTCCTCGGATTCCATGTTAGATCACCGGTTTACTAGTATGAGCAAGAAAGCCTAATCTAGTCAAAAGCAATCAATAAACAGTAGAAAAAAGGAATTTGGAGAAACACAAAAGGTTGATTGAATGCTTAATAGCAAAAGGACTATGCAGAAGATTTTTAGTCGATCGTCTGATACCAATAAATGGATCGTCTAATACTGTTGTTGTAATGGTGAACGATGGTGATGATGATACTTTTTATGAAACCTGAAAAAACCAAGAAATTGATAAGCACAAAAAATTAATTAAAAACAGACATAATCAAAGATTAAAGAAACTATTCAATTGCTCTTTGAGCTAAACTAACTTACAGTGTTGTTGGGAAAAAAACAATGATCTTGCTTCTGCGTTTGCACAAGCGTACAAGCAGCGATCTTCTGCGGATTTTATAGCTTCCTGTTAAATAACCAAACTCTTACATTACCTGCTAAACCTTCGTCTCTTCTGTTAGTTACTGACCGTATTCAAGATCAAAATGCCAATCCAATCTATTAAAGCAAGACAAATCTATGACAGCCGAGGCAACCCCACTGTTGAGGTTGATCTTGTCTCCGATAAAGGTAAGATTATACAATTTTTGTCTATTAAAGCTCGTTTTTGTTTTAAATAACCTTTAAATTTTCATTTTAGGTTTGTTCCGAGCTGCGGTACCTAGCGGTGCTTCAACTGGTGCTCACGAAGCAGTTGAACTTCGAGATGGTGACAAAAGCAACTACTTGGGAAAAGGAGTTCTTAAAGCCGTTCAAAATGTTAATGAGAGTCTTGCCCCTGCCATTGTTGGCAAGTTCGAACCTACTCAACAAAAGGAGATAGATGAATTAATGATTAAATTAGATGGTACTGAAAACAAAGGAAAGCTCGGAGCTAATGCTATTCTTGGTGTTTCACTTGCTGTCTGTAAAGCTGGTGCTGCTGCTAAAGGTGTTCCATTATACAAACACATCGCTGACTTGGCTGGTAATAAGGATATTATTTTACCAGTTCCAGCATTCAATGTTATCAATGGTGGTAGCCATGCTGGTAACAAGCTTGCCATGCAAGAATTCATGATCTTGCCTACTGGAGCTAGTTCATTTACTGAAGCCATGAAAATGGGTTCTGAAACTTACCACCATTTAAAGGCTGTAATCAAGAAGCGTTTCGGTCTTGATGCTACTAGTGTAGGAGATGAGGGAGGTTTTGCACCCAATATCTTGAACAACAAGGATGCCCTTGAATTGATCAAAGAGGCTATTAGTAATGCTGGCTACATTGGTAAAATTGACATTGGTATGGACGTTGCCGCATCTGAATTTTACAAAGATGGTAAATATGATTTGGACTTTAAAAATCCAAAATCTGATCCCAGCAAATGGATTTCACCTGATGAGCTTGCTAAGCTTTACAAAGATTTCGCCGCTGATTATCCAATTGTATCAATTGAGGATCCCTTTGATCAAGATGATTGGGAAGGTTGGAGCAAGTTCACTGGAAGTGTCGACTTCCAAGTTGTTGGGTATGCTTTCTATTTTTTTATTCATCTTTTCTTTTAGCTAACCATGACCTTGATCGTTTACAATTGATTGCATTTGCTTATTTATGATTTCTGAATCTTCTTTTTTTTATAGTGACGACTTGACAGTCACCAATCCAAAACGTATTCAAACCGCAGTTGAGAAGAAAGCTTGTAACTGCTTACTTTTGAAAGTTAATCAAATCGGAAGCATCAGTGAAGCAATTGAAGCGTAAGTTGAATCATTCTCTTTGTTCATTTCTCATTACTTTTTGCGTGTCATCTTGTTTTTCTTGCGATTAAACCACTTACTTATGTGTTTTTTTATCAATATCTGTTTTTTTTCTCATTAGTCACCTTCTGGCTAAATCTAATGGCTGGGGAACAATGGTTTCTCATCGATCCGGTGAAACTGAAGATTCAACCATAGCTGATATTGTTGTTGGTCTTTCAACTGGACAAATCAAGACCGGAGCTCCATGTCGATCTGAAAGATTGTCTAAATATAATCAAATTCTGAGAATAGAAGAAGAATTAGGATCTGGTGCTAAATATGCAGGAAAAAGCTTCCGAAAACCTCAGTGACCTTAAATCCATTTTAAAGGTCAAATAAATTCTATGTGAAAGTGATATGAAATTGTGGAAAAATGATATCTAGCAGATCAAATCAGTTTTTTTGTTCTTTAAAATTTAGCTTATTATTCAACTCTATATATCTATTATTATAATTGTAGTCTTGGGTAAACTCACCACATAAATTACATATAAGATAATTCCAAATTCAATTTACCAGGTAAATATTCAAAAGCCTATTAATCAATATAAAGCGTGAAACTATATATTTTAATTCTAGTTGTGTATCAATGATCATTTATCGTTCTCTACTGCTCGATAAATGCAGAATCTTAGAGAGATATTATCAGGCCGGACAAAAAAGGTTGTTTTTAAAATGCTTCAAAAACAGCTCAGCAAATCAATTTTTTGATTTTGTTTCTCCAATACACTGGTGAACAACAAATCAAAATTTAACTCTTATTCACTAATTCTAATCAATTGGGAACTATTTTCTTTTCCCTCATTAGTCAATTTAATTATTATTTCTATTTCTATTACTAGTTATTTCTAATTGTGTGATTTTGGTGTTGGGTTTCCGTTGGTCTCCTTTGTTTCTCCTTTTTTTGTTTAAATTCAAAAATCTTTACAATATAAAGACATACTTAATATTTGTACCTTTTAGTAAACAATTTAACCAATTTAATCAGTTTAAACCATAATCATAGAAATTTGATTTCCTGTTTTCGTATTGTTTCTGATTCTAAGTAATTACCTAGGTAAGTTACTTGTTTGGATGGATGAATTTCAAATCCCGGTGATCACCTGATTAACAGTATTGGAGTCGCTCTTAATATTAAGCTGCGATCGAATAGCTGTTTTCAATTGTTTCAATCCTTTACCTTCTTTTACTCTAAAATAACTTGTCATTTCATCTCCAGCCCTGAATATTCAAAACCTGAATTTATCTTAAATGTATACAACATAATGTTGTTATTATCAAAAGGAGTGAAAAAATATGTATGATTATTATAATTTCAAATTACATTTAGAAATGACTTCTTACGACTGTTTTCTCAATTATTTCATATTTCTTTTTCAAATTTCAGAATCCAAAATCCTTTTCGGTAACACCACAATTGATTTCGGCCGGATTCAAGGTTCTGAAAATAAAGCTAACAGACTTAGGATTTCCATGTTACTGTTTCTGATTGAATTGCATTAAATCATTCATTTACATTGTGAAATAATCCAATAATTTTTTATAATCCCTCGATTTGGATAAGTTTTTAGTCATCCTAATCAAAGTAAAATAGGATACGACAATCAACTGTATCTTTGACAACACTTATTATAAAAGCACAGTTTAATCTAGAGTAACTTTTGATATCTCCGATGAATATTATTATAGATGAACTACAAAATCACTTTACTTTACTACTTTACATACTTTATTCACAAAATCACTAAATTGGAATAAAAAAAGTTGCATATTGATTACATTGCATCACGGATCGTTTGTCAATTGTCTTGATTGATTGATTGATCGGGAAATTGAAATACAGGGCATTTCAGCTAATTTTACCGTTGTAAATTGGCTATATCTTTGCTCCTGAGTGAACTTGAGGTTTGATATTTTGTTCATGGAAATTTGGGCGATACTCAATTGTCATATTTCAAGGTCAAGGTGATTCAAGGTCATTGCGTTATTTGACCTCTAATTGATATTTAAAGGTCATTTTCTAAGAGCCCAAAAATTTACAGATTGGTTGATGCTTACTACGAGTTGTTATCTTAAACCGTTGAAAAGATGAATGCATTTTGCTTGTAACCAATTGATCGACACAGCAATGTGTAACACCCATATCTTGCTACCAGAATGAGTTATGAACATGTCACTGGCATCAACCAATCTGAAAATTTTTGGGCTCTTAGAAAATGACCTTTAAATATCAATTAGAGGTCAAATAACGCAATGACCTTGAATCACCTTGACCTTGAAATATGACAATTGAGTATCGCCCGAATTTCCATGAACAAAATATCAAACCTCAAGTTCACTCAGGAGCAAAGATATAGCCAATTTACAACGGTAAAATTAGCTGAAATGCCCTGTATTATACCTGCTTATAAATAACTACAAAAATCAATTTAATATGAATTATAGCTCATTCAAGGCATTTACTCTTTCATCGATTTACTTGCAAGGCGTTTGTTTATTTTATTACATGTTGGAAAATTGATTAATTCAAACCTTTGTTGTCAAAATGAGTTCATCTCTTTGATGTCAAGAAAGTTCGTTAGGGGCGGATGATCGAAATATGCTTGGAAATATCGGGTTTTCAAATTTTATTGTCATAGTATCTCACTTTGAGCTTCTGTAATAGTCTTTGGTAATTTTTGTGCTTAAATGTTTATCAAAAATGCATAAGTTAATTGCCATTAATGCTAAAATCAAAAATCACCATGAAGCCGGTTTATCGGCACATGCTTTAGCAAGCAAAAATGAATTGAAAAACTGTTTATAAGTGGATTAAACGTGATCCTATTAATGATTTTGAGGTTCATGCAGACAGCTCAGTTAATAAATCGACTTAAGCAAAAGTCGTTTATCTTACCAACGGATCATGTTTTCGACTTAAGGCCGACAACAACCAAGCTGTGAAAGTTTGCACTTTCAAAATGACTTTCAAATGTCATTTAAGGGTTAAATAATGGAGTGATATTGAGTGCTCAAAAAGATGGGTTCTCAAAACGTACTATACCTGAGAACGATCCGATTAAAGATCGACCCGGATCGACCCTTCATGTACCGATCCGAGCTTGATACGATCTTTTTGCGTAACGATTAATCAATCCTTTTTTATCTTATATTCATCATGTTTTTATCGGTCGAAAATGACAAAAATGAGATTATTTGAGAATTTTATTTCATTATTGAGCATAAATATGAAAATTATTTGCCTAATTGCTACATTCATAAGAAAATTGATAATAAAAGTAAAAGGGGTATGCCTCATGAAATACTGACCCTCGTCAATTTTGAAAAAACCATGATTTTATGATAGACATCATTAAAAAACTATGTTAGATCTCATCAAGAGTTCTGTAAAGTGTCGCGTTCGGTCACAATTTCGCTCTAAAGTTGAAACGTTTTTCATTGATATCTTGGGAACAAAACATGATAGAGTTCTAAAAATTCCACTAGAAGACTAATAATCATATGCACTTTGTTATGACAAAAGATTCATCAAAGGTCACAGAAAAAAGTTGATATTTTGCGCCCTTGTTTTCGATTGAGCGAGTAGCATCAACTTTTTTCTGGGGCCTCGGACGAATTCAATCTTTTGTTAGTAGTATAAAGTATATTGAATTTTAAGGAATTTAGTCGAAGTTTCATCTGAATTTGGCGATTCGTTTTGGAGCTAGAGCTTGTCGACAATAATGCGGCCACTCGTATAACTGGTGAACTACGTAGTTTATCCAAAAAATCTCGCGTCAGGCTATAGCCAGCATTGTAAAGCATAAAAATTGATCAAAATTCTTCCTGACGCAAAGGTACTCAAACGCGCACCGTTCGAAGTTTAATGACCTTACGGCTATAATATGTGAACCAGGTGCTTTAGAGAAAAAATCTTTCGTCAGTCAGTGGAAACTAACATCAAAGATATTTTTACGAAATTTCAGAACTCCAATATGTTTTACTCCCAAGATAACAATGAAAAACGTTTCAACTTTAGAGCGCAATTGTGACCAAACGCGACACTTTACAGAACTCTTGATGGGATCTAACATAGTTTTTTAATGATGTCTATCATAAAATCATGTTTTTTCAAAATTGACGAGGGTCAGTATTTCATGAGTCATACCCCTTTTGATCAATTTTGCTTCAAATTTTCCCGCCTCTACTTGCACAATGAGCTGACTATCATAATAATCAGCTTGAACACAGAAATAAAAAGGTCATTTCTGACGCTGAATTTTTCTGCAGGCCTATTTGTTAGCAAATAAGTAATACAAAACTAATTCAAAACAGTAGTACGGTAAGTAGGTTCTATGCCTAACGAAAGAAAAGAAGCGGTCATAACTCGCGTATGCTAAAAACAGATAAAGGCCAAGAAAAGGAAGAAATAAACTCAACAACCAATAAACAGAAATACTTTATCAAAGATATTTTTCGATACAAAATCATATTTTTTTACAATTTACAGTTTATCTTTTCCAGCCATAATTTCATTAGCTTTTTTAAGGCTGTTTATCACACAGGTTCGTTCGCCAAGTTCCTGTGTTCCATATAATAGCATATTTATTATTCAGCTTTTCGGTAATGATTTTTTCAATGCTGCCAGGGCTGACTTCTAGGGGGACCAAAGGATCATAC